TAAAGCTTAGATTGAGAAATTTTAATAAATTTAGTCAAAATATACATAGTGAATTCTTAAATTTCGATTATGATTATGACGTCCCTTTTCATAGATCAAATTGTAAGAACGTGACACATAAAATATTATGGCAGAAGATTGATAGAGTGTCATATATTTATGTAAGACATTATGCATCGTGTCCCATACGCTTCGGGTATAGAACCGATTGCAAATGCTATAATATTTGACCACTCAAAATTTTACCAAATGTCTAGCGCATTAAGAGGGAAAGGGGACTAGAACTGGTTTTGACTGAAATAATTAAACAACTATCAAAGGACGATCCAAATTTCGCTGAGGATCGGTTGCTTGTGAGTAGTTGGAAGTATGGTATTGAATGGACCATATTGACATTATTATGAATAGATAAGATTCTATCAAGAATGGGTTGTCACATGGTAAATATGGAAATGTTTCCATAATTGGGAATTAGAAATTAAGAATTTAGAAAATTTTATGCAAAAGGATGTTCAAAGGAATGTACTTTGAGTGAGAGACATCACATCTATAGAATTGTTCTGTAACAATTTTGATAGAGTACCTTGTGATTTCGATGGCCGAGTCTTTGTGAATTTTGTGCCGTAACTTCACAAGAGGATTATTGCATAAAATATTAGAATTTGATATATTCTATAAGTGGCAAGAATTTGATGTTCTTATGGTAAGAACTGGGAATTGTGAAATGAGTATGATTGAAAATGTGATATATTTCACAAAGTATAGACCATAGGAAACCAAAGTGTGCATGCTTGGAGCATGGGACAATTGTGGTTATAATTCGAGTTATAAAGTTGATTATCTGAAACGTTAAAGAATGGATAATGAGTAATCAATATGGTGATTAAATAAAGGTGTTTTGTTTATACTCAAGGGTTTGGGACCATATAGGATTAGTATTATTGTTTTTCTCTTTGCATGTTTTGACTTCCAGAATAATTGAGTTTTTTTTAAGAATAATCGAATTATTCAAACGGACCACAGTTGGTCATGCGTTGGAAGTAAGTATGAATGAAGACTGTCATGAATTGGTTTGTAGATTGTCTAAAGCGTATTAAAACATAGCAAAGGTTTGCTGCAACGTTCATGAGTGCTTATGAATATGATTTTGAGCATTGGATTAAGCCCATGCTCACCTAGATTGCTTCATGAATTTTATCACGAGCGATTGGTGAGACGATAATATCTTGTATTCTTGAAACCGAGATGTGTAAGTTGTATCTTGCGAATCGGTTGCACATTGATAATATGTAAACACACCAGTAACTTGGTGTTATAAAACTTATTGTTGTGTGTGATTTGGTGAGTGAGTGCAAGCAAGCATTGAGTCAGAGTTTATCCGTTCCTTTTACCCAGAGTGGGATAAAAGCGATATCTGTGGGCCCCTCGATGATTTAGTGATGACAAACGTAAATGCTCGGCCGGGCTAGGGCTAATTTTATTTGTTCAATTAGTCAGTCGTCGTAAATCGGAAGTTGGGAAACAACATATAGACTGAGAGAATGATTTCAATCCATGTCTAAAGGACAGGTTACTGATAAGATCAGAGTTTGACAGCATCTTTGAGAGCTACGATTGCTAATCAAGTTGTACTTACATTTGTGGTTACTAGACTTATCCAAGTGGGAGACTGTTCGATTAGTGTCTAACCCCGTAACCATATTTGGTAAGTACTTGACCCGATTGTGCATGGTCTTTTTGGGTTGCCTTCACCAAAGCAACTTGACTGGAGATATAATAGAGAAAGAGGTTATTATGATTTATTAATATGTTATAAGAATTATATATTAAAAGGGAGAAATCATATTTGTTTAATTAATATTGGTCAATTAATTGAGAATTAATTTTGTGATCAAGTGTAATTAATTAAATTAGAGGGGTTGAATTGTAATTATGTGATAATTACAAAGAAGGGTAAGGATTATCCTAGATATGGGTTGGACGAAATCAAGAGGATAAGGATCCTTGAAATCTTCCAAAGAAAGGGGTATTCAAGGCTTATCTTATTGTTACTTGGTGGGTAAGCAACTAGATAAGGATAAGGATTGAACCCTAATCTCCACATCTATATAAACACCCCTTTGCCATAAGAATTCGTCCATGCTTCCTAAAGGGTTCTTAGAGCTGATTTTTACCTCTTTCCTTCTTTCTCTATAGCCTCTCCAATTGCTTGTGGTGTTTGTGAGCCATTAGAGGCACTACACTTGTGGTGCTTGCTTTCAAGACTTAGGGTTTGAATATTTGAGTTATTATTACAATATAACAACAAGAGGTATGTGATATATCCTTCTTGGTGAATTGCGAAAATAGTAGACCACATTAGGGTTTCTTTATGTGTTCATAATATTGCGTATCTAATAGTAAAACATAGATCCAAATCTAGGGTTGCATGCACACATAGGATTGTTTGTATAAAACCCATCAGAAACTGCATCGGACCGAAGTTCGGAACTAACCAGGGCCTTGCCCTCTGCATCGGACCGAAGTTCGGAACTAACTAGGACCTTGTCCTTGCATCGGACTGAATTCCGGGACTAACTGCATCGGACCGAAATCCGGAACTGACTGGGACCTTTTCCCCTGCATAGGACTGAAGTCCGGAAACTGACTAAGCATAACATATCATAACATAAACATATCAACTAGCATAAGCACATATACTGCATACTGCATCGGAACCAAGTCCGAAACACATAACACAAAACATGCTTGAATCACAAAGACATCAAGCAATATAACTACTGCATCGGACCGAGGTTCGGAACTACTGCTAACTAAACGGGCTGGCATTGTGGCCGTAGACACGTTCCTACTGGAAGGAAAACTCACCTCATAGTCTGGCTGCTGAGTGAACTGCTCTAGAATCTGCCTGTTGCTGCTCCGGTATCTCCCCGGCTACAATTTCCATAAGTACACTCAATCAAATATTGAAAACTATACTGAGGGTAAAATGACTATTTTACCCCTGGTCAAAGTTAACCTCTTGGTCAAAGTCAACATACAATTGACCTGACTCGTCGAGTTGGGCCATCAACTCATTGAGTCCCTACTCTCATTTCTCAATTTTGCTCGCTACTACTCGTCGGGTTTGGCATAGACTTGACGAGTTCCTCTTTGATACAAACACTAAGTCAATCTGCATCCGACTCTCCGAGTTGTATGAACAACTCGTCGAGTTCTCCTTTATCATATGAACACCCCGACTGGGACTCGTCGAGTTGTATGAACAACTCGCCGAGTCTGTTCTTGAGATATGAAGATTGCCTTGGACTCACTGAGTTAGGGCATTAACTCGCCGAGTCCCTCCATGAATGAGTCTGATCTCCGACTCACTGAGTCCACTTAAAACTCACTGGTTCCACTCGACATAATACATAGAAGGGGGAAAACTCGAGGACTCGCGACTCGACTCGCCGAGTCTGAAGAATGACTCGCCGAGTCGGTTGCATGTAACTTCTATACAGTTGATTCTGCTCAAAACCAATGCATACAACTTACAGATCTGGGTTCTTAAGGCTTGATTACCACGTAAAGTTTCCAACTTTACGTGTACATATGCATGAAAAAGGATTTAAAGGCTCAAAAGACACTTAAAAGAGTAGATTTAGGGCTTTCATGCAAAATGGCTCCATAAAGGTGTTAGATCTACGTTTTTGGAACTGAAACATGGCTAGATTCGAAGGCTAATCAACCCAATGTGATCTCTCTACTATAAACAAGCTAAGAAATGGATAAAATGGCCTAAATGTGATTAATAATGGAGAATCAATCATAGAAACAGAAGGAATCCGATTATTACCTCAATAAACTCTGTAGTGAGTGCAAGATCTTGGATCTCCTTCTACTCCTTTGGATCTAGCTTCCTTCTTTTCTTCAAAACTTCAAGATTCACACAAGAAATGCTCAAAATGATCAAGAAATGCTCAAAATGATCAATGATCAATGAATGGTTAGGGTTTGCTAAATGATGCTCTGAGGGTGAAGGAGGCGAGGTTGGGGCTCATAACATGGTTTAAATAGGGTGCAAAACCCATGGATCTAGGATTTCTTCCAGACTAGCGGACTCGCCGAGTCCAGGATATGGACTCATTGAGTTGCCAACTTAAACGTGATCAGTATCTCGTCTCTACTCGACAAGTCGGGCCTACAACTCGCCGAGTCCCAGCTAAAAATGCAAAAATACTTAGATTAAAATACATACCAGGAACCAGGTGCTACATAAAGGGTTTCATGCATTGAGACTTGCCCAAAGCTTGAAAAGCTTGGATCTTTCGCTCATGGGACCTCCTTTTGTCCAGATCTGGAGTCTCAACTCCATGATAAGCTCCAACAACTCAAGAACCATAAGATAAGGAGGGAAAGCCCTAAAACTCCCTAGAATGGGATCTATCAATAGAATTGCTCAAGGTGGTAGCTTTTTACCTCCAAACTGAAGTTAGCAGAGAAAAACACTTGATCCAGAAGTCTCTTCTCATTCCAAGGCTTGATGCTCTTCAATCCTCTTCCAAATATGCACTAGAACACCCAAAGTTAGTTTCTCTCTCTCTCTCTCTCTCTCTCTCTCTCTCTCAAACACACACATAAACACATACACACAATTAGGGTTTCTCACAGAGCTCTAAGGTGACAAGGGAGGCGGATATGAAGGCTTTAGGCCCTTTAAATAGGACACAAACCCTAAAAAATTAGGGTTTTCTTACTCATCACCTACTCGTCGAATAGACTCTAAAAATCACGTGACCATTAACTCCTCTACTCGGTGAGTTGGGACATCTAACTTGTCGAGTTTCTCTGAAATAAAGAATATAAAATAGTTAAATATTATGCCTAGGAGTTGGAATGTTACATAGTTCTTATCTAGGCCTATGACCTGTGTATTTTGTATATATTCATTATATTTTTGTAACCAATACGAATCGATGGGAAATACTATTCACCATATTCTTCCTTAAAATGTAAACATCCACAATCGAACCAAAATGATGAAAGGTCTTCCATTGTTTCGATTCATCTCGACTATCAAGAAAACTTGATGAAGAAGTATGTGATAGCCTTCCCTCCGGGCGTGTCATCTCTCATTAGTTTAAAAAGAATCCTGCCCAAAATTTTTACACAACATGACCATATGGTTTTTATATATTTTTGAAAATTCGCAACACAATGATCTACCAACCTATGCATAGTCTCGTAACACGACTCATAAGAGTTATAAAAAATGCATAATGAAAAACAAAAGGCCCTTAGATCATCGTGGACCCGACAAATGATCGTTGCTAGGGTTGTAAGATGAATCTTGCTTATTCCGTACATGCATGTGCCTAAACTCTTGCCGATAAATCTCCTCTTTCTGCCACTCCTCCCACCTCTCTTCTAAACCATCACCTTCAAGCATTTTTACAACTTCCGACATTTTTGGTCTCTCGAGTGGTATCACTTGTGTGCACAATAAAGCTATCTGTATCAACTCTTCCACAACATCTTGCAGATAATTACCTTCTGCATCCACCAATATCTCCATCTTATTTTCCCCCAAAAGTCCTTTCACCTAAACAATTCCCAACTGAATTATCAAACCAAAATATATAAACGATGTAACAATTCTCAAGAATGATAATTTGATTAGGACGAAAATATATTTCTTACCCAATCAAGCAACATGACCTCGTCATCATTGGCGTGGCGCCCAAGATCATAGGCACGTTGCCCTATGACGAGTTCTAGAAGCATCACACCATACCCAAATACATCCGATTTTTCTGAAGATCGCCGGGTGGATATATACTCAGGGGCAATGTGTCCAATTGTACCACGAACACCTGTTGTAACATGAGTATCATTGTAGTCCATAAGTTTGGCCAACCCAAAGTCTCCTACCACAGCTTCAAACTCCTCATCCAACAGTATATTTGCAGCTTTTACATCATGGTGAATGATCTTAGGGTCACAATGCTCATGCAAATAAGCCAGCCCCCTTGCGGATCCTAGTGCAATTCGTTTCCTTGTTGGCCAATCAAGAGGTCGATCTACAGTAATTATCAATCAGCTACAAACTCAAGATTGACCTAAAAACTCAAAGTTGACCTTCCTACCTCGTAGACACGATGCAACACTGCCATTGACCATGAAGGGATAAACAAGCAATCGTTCAGTAGGAGTCATACAAAACCCTTGCAGCCGAAGCAGATTCCGGTGCACCGCGATGCTTATCATTTCAACCTCCATTTGAAACTGCAATTCGCCAGCTTTAACACCATCTATCAGTCTTTTTACAGCCACCAGAGCACCATCAGCTAACCGTCCTTTGTAAACTTTTCCAAATGCACCTCGGCCAAGAATGTTTTTTTCATTAAAGTTATTTGTTGCAACTTGTAGTTCATGCAAAGAAAACCTCTTGATCAGTTGTTTCAGATGAACTCCCGGGTCCTCTTCAGCTACAAATGAGGAAAGAATCAAAGTTGGGCTATTGATCTTCTTGTTATAGTATTAACTAACCAGGCACATCAGTGAAATGATCTTGTTGGTATCTGCACCCCTGCCAAACAAGTGCAATTGCCTGATATAGTAAAACTAGAGCAACACCAACAGGAACTCCTTCAGCAATAGCTTTGCTGACGTTGTAATTGTATCCTACTGAAATTACAGCTGCATATATATACAATCAGAAGGCGATAGATCCTTTACACAAAATATGGACTTTGACATGAGATCAAATACTAATGACATAAATTAACAATGACGATCGAAAATGCCTGAAGGAGATTGAGAATTAGATGGAAATGAATATGGATATTGTGCAGATGCCTCAAGCGGCCGCCTCAACTGAGGATTATTGTAAAAACTGAATGAAGAGAAGTTTGCATATAACATTGGCAAGGCATAGGACATAAGTTCAAGAATGATGTATCTAAAAGCAAACCTGATATCTGTGAACTGTGAAAAGGAGCCATTGGAAGGGACAGTTCCTATCAAGAAGTTGTTTGACAGATCACTGTGATATATAGAAGGAAATTAACCAAAGTTTTTTAGCTTTGTTTTAAACTTTTAATGATCACCAACAGTCAAAATGGACCAAGTTTTATACTTACATTAGTTGTAACGAATCAATAGTAGTTAATGAATATGGAATAGTTCCTGTCAAACTGTTGTTACCGAGACGACTATCCTTGCACAAAGAGCAGAGAAACAACAACGTGATTCTCGAGAAAATCATAATTCATAATTTGTGAAAGAAGATATATGAAGTAAAACCGACAAAGCTACTCTAGTTTTCATCAAGAGAAGCTAGAATCCAGATTATGTGAAATCGTACAGGAAACAAAGTTTCTGAAGGTTGCCCAATGTATCTGGAATGGCACCTTCTAAACGATTCCGGTAAAGTTCCAAGCCCAACAAGTTCGTTAAGTTCCCAATCTCATCAGGAATTCTTCCACTGAAGTTATTACTGTAAAGATGCCTGTCCCAGAACAAGAATCAGACATATATACTACTTCAATAAGCAAATACGATATGCAAACAAATACAGACTTACAAGTACTGTAAGTTGCTAAGTTGACCAAGCTGTGGAACAAGTTGACCAGACAAATATGCGTTTCCAAGATCACTGCTTTCAACAAATCCCAGTATACAAATTTATTCGTAAGACTTAAAAAATTGCAAAAAAAGCAATCCGATTAAAAATTTAGTCGAAATGTACTGGTTGGTGAGCTTACATTCGAGTAACACGTGTCTCAGTGTTACAAGTAATATGAGACCACCGGCATGGATTGACTTGGGTTATATTCCAACTTTGCAAAACATTATTAGGATCCTGTAATTGTGTCTTTAGGGCATTCAATGCATCAACTGTCTTGCACATATGGAATTTGATTATGGGCTTATCTTTAAAGCATCAAAACAATGAAGTTCTAAGACAAAACATCATAAATTTCATGATTCAAGGAAAGCAATTGCACTAACTTAATATATTTGATCAAGCAACAATCATTTACTTATAAGCTAACTCAAAATCAAATTTAAAAAATATATAAATAAATAAATAAACATATACCTTCAGCATTCCCGTAAACCCTTAACGGATTAAAGAACCCAAAAATAAACCAATATAGGATCAGAGGGAAGGTCCTATCCATTTCTCGTAAGCTAAAAGTGTACATTAATTCCTCATGATCTACTCAACAATACAAAGAAATAAAAAAAATATATATAGAAGGTGAAATACCGCATGCTAGATTTGAACACAACTTAACAACTAAAACATATGAATAACATCCACATATGCAAATAAAAAAACTAAAACCAATAACTCCAATTCAAGAAAGTCTTGAAAATGGTGATTGTGAAGTTCATCTGCAGTTTATTTTTCTGTATTAGATCAGATACTAAATTGAAGAGTAGTTTGGGGGATATGTCTTTGTGTATTCAGTCAAAGGTTCTATTTTTTCTCCTAAAAAGACAACTGGTTGTAGGGACAAAGAGAGGGATATAGTAGGAAATGGGTGAGGCGATTTACTCCATTCATTTTCTGGGAAAAAGGGAGCATTGACAATTTGACTCCACGAGAGGACTTTAAAGCCACTGACTATACTTTAAAATAATACGAGCAAGATATTTCAAGAAAAAAATGTTAACTGCAGATAGATTTTAATGAGTTATCGGTATGCATTAATTATGGGGACTGAGGTTTCTACCATCGGTTGAACGCCCCCAACCTAAATTACAATACCCTTAAAGAAGGTGATACTCGAGTTCATAAGAAATTATCTCCTTACTGCACGTGAAATCCAACAACAGGTTACTTAAATTTCTCCCTAAACAAGAGTTCACTCATGCATTTTTATCAAACACTTAATTCGCATGTGAACGTATCAAACAAAGACTTGCTAAAAAAATGAAATCGATTGTTGGGTTGACATGATACGGATAAAGATAAGAGAGTAACAAAAGCAATACACACCTACAATTGAACCTAGCCTGAGTTCGTATAATCGTATAGAAACGAGATTTGCTAGCGATCGCAAGCAAGTTTGGAGTTTATACCCAATGATTAGCAAGAGCCATCAAAATTCCCCGCTAGATATGATTTACAGTTGTAGCACAAATTTTATAGTAATGGACAATCTTTCCAGAAAAGACACCTTTCCAAACAATGTCATCCCTGTTAGGGCTGGAAACGAACGGAATGTTCAACAACCGTTCGGCGGGAAGTTCGTTTATTTAATAAATGAACGAACATGAACACAAATTCTCATTCGTTTAGTTAAACGAACGAACATGAACCATGTTCCCGTTTGTTCAATTATGTTCGTGAACGTTCGTTTATGTTGTTCGTTTACGTTTGTTTTTGTTTGTTCATATAAGTTCCCACTACAAGAATAAACACCTATAGAGACGATATCTATAGGGACGACATATGTCGTCGCAATAGTCGCCCTATAGGGACGACATGTTGTTGCCATAGTGTTGATATGGGGACGACATATTGCTCCAATAAATAACAAAAAGTAAAAAATAACATATTTTTTAAATCCTTTGACGGAAATAATGGGGGAAGGTCGTTTTGGGATAGTTATAGGGACGACTTGTCGTCCTCATAGCTCTCTACGGCCAAAATTGGAACAGCCCCTTCGTTTCATTCACGCACGCTAAGTAATCAATCATCGGTCTCTCTTTATCGATCAGTCAAATATTCTCCCCTGACGACTTCCTCACCTCCCACCACCGGTAAATCTTCTTCCTCTCTCCACCGATCCTCATGCTAGTTGCTGCAGACCACCGACGATCAGCTTCAACACCGACGATTCCAACTACCGGTTTCCTTTTCACCCCCGGTTACGAATTCTAACAATTATAAGCCCCACTCTGGCGACCTAGGTTAGTAATTCTCGGTTACAAACTAGAATTGGGGTTTATGTTAGCAATTATGTGTTTGAAACTGGAATTGTGATTTTCTATGGTTTCATAGCTCTCACAGAAATCATTGACGGAGAGGAATGTCGAACACCATCGTGAATGGCCTTGTCGGAGCTGGCGGAGGTATCATTGCTCAACTCATCACGTATCCTCTCCAATCGGTACTTATTCCTTCCCATTTACTCTCTTTGTCTACTTCCTATTTGTTTGAAGAAGATGATGATATGACTGACAATGCAAATTTAGATACAACATACCTTCATACTAATGGAAATGATGTAAGCTTTTGATACATTATTAGATCTCCGTGTGTGTTTGTAACTGATACCTGATATTCCATCTTGAAACACACACTTTTTAACATCTATTTGGCATCTACCAAACAGGGTCATGGGAGCTTACCAGAACATAATAATGCAAATGGAGAGCATAGTGTATCTGGAGACCTGCATGGTGTTCAACCAGATCCTGTAGCTGCTGATATTCTTAGGAAAGAACCAGAGCACGAGACCTATGTAAGGCTGAGAATCAGCCCATTTGGTAATCTTCTCTCTTTCTTTTTGTTTGTAATTTCATCTATGCAGGAAAACACGTATACACACAAGTATTTGAAAATTGAATAACCTTATTTCTTTCCAACTCCTCTTATTGCAGAGACACCATCTTCTGATGAAGCAGAGGTTTATAGAGCATTACAAGGGTGTATTGAGATGCAAAAGAGCTATGTGTTCAGAGAAAGCATTGCTCCATGGGAGAAACAAGTTATATCTGATCCTAGTTCTCCAAAGCGTAATCCAAATCGTTTTGAGTATATCCCTGAGACAAAATATGATGTAGGTTTGAAGTTTCTGCCACAAGTTTGTTCTTGATGCTTATTTTCTTAAATCTTGACTTGATATTCAAATGCTTGCAGCATTATTTTCAAATGGAAGATGGCGTGGTTCATGTTTATGAAGATAAAGATTGTAAGATAGCATGAATCAAGAGCATCTATTAAGGTTCATTAAGTCCAAGTTCAGAAGGAAACCAGATGAGGTAATGCTTCATATCTATTTCTTGATCATTTAAAAATGTGTTTCTCTTTTGCATGAATCAAAGTTTATTTTTTCCTGTTTCAGGTTGTAATATTTTGTGATGGGACATATCTGACCTTAAAAGAGGTTTTTGAGAGCTTGGATTTAACCGAGTAACTTTACTATCTGTAGAACAATTATATCTTCTTGTGTGAATGTTTTTTTTATGATCATAAGTCTTAAATGCAGATATGACCTGAATGTTGATCAATTAGATGTACATGCAGACAAGAGCACATTTCATCGTTTTGATAAATTCAATATGAAATACAACCCCTGTGGTCAAAGTAGGCTTCGGGAGATTTTCTTGAAACAGGACAATCTTATTCAAGGTAAGTTTCAGTACTTTTTCAGATCGTTTCCTTACTGAGGTAACAAGCCAAGTGTTTGTAGATCTTGAAGCGAGTAAATATCTATATATGGAAGAAAGCAAAGTGAATGGGACAAGTGAGTTTTGAAATCCATGTTATTTATTTATTCCTTTTATCTATTTTGATTCATGCATAACACTTACACTTACACTTAAAGCTTTTGCCTTTTGACAGATGGCTGAATACAGAATATCTATATATGGAAGAAAGCAAAGTGAATGGGACAATTTAGCTAGATGGATTGTAAACAATGAATTATACAGTAAGAATGTTGTCTGGTTGATTCAGGTGATCTCTTACTACAATACTTTAAAAGGCACCAAATGTTTATACTTTAATATCAACTAACATTATAATTTATATGCATACTTGTGTTGTTCAGGTACCCCGGCCTTACAACATATACAAAGAAATGGGAATTGTGACATCATTTCAGACAATTTTGGATAATGTTTTAATCGATCAAGATTCACATCCCCAGTTGCATGTTTTCTTGAAACAGGTACCAATTAAATTGTACACATTACATAATTCGAATTTGATTTATTTCATAAAAAGTTGTATGTAATGTTTTAATAATCTTATAAAGGTGGTGGGATTGGATTTGGTGGATGATGAGAGCAAGCTTGAAAGAGGCCCTACAATCTTGCATTCTCATACCCAAAATAAGCTTCGTGAATCAAAGGGCATGACAACTATTGTTTCAAATTGCTCTTTTTAATTTGGTGTGTGAAGAGGTATTTTTAGTAGGTGCAATTGCGAAACTTATTGCTTAGGATGAAACGTATTAACTAGATATCTCCATCTATGGAGACGACATACTGTCTTTATAGCTTTATCTATGTAGACGACTTGTTGTCTTTATAGACGCACCTATAGAGACGACATGTCGTCTCTATAGATTTATCTATGGAGACTAGCATCGTATAGCGACAAACAAAAAAAGGACAACATGTCGTCTCTAAAAGCTATCTATTGCGATGGTATTTATAGCGACGGAAAAAAAGATCTATTGCGACGGGGCTATGGTGACAAAAGCTATTGGGATGATATGTCGTCTCGGACACCTATACGGACGACTTTTATAACCTATAGTGACGCCATTTGTCGTCCCTATAGGTCCAGTTTCTTGTAGTGTCCTTTTATGTTCATATATGCTTTATTGTATCTGATAATATTACTATATTATATTTTCATTAATGTTTATATATGCTCGAATTATGTTTGTTTATCTTTGTTCATTTATGTTCGTTTAGCATGTTCATGAACATAAATGAACGAACATTAACAATGCAATTTGTTAAATGAACGAACATGAACAAGAAAACTCGTTTTTTTATCCGTTCGTGTTCGTTCATTTGTTCGAATAACTTAAACGAACGAATATGAACAAGTCTCGTTCGTCTTTGTTTGGTTCGTTTACATCCCTAATTCTTGTGATTCGGTTTCTTAATGCCAATTTATTTATTTTATTATTTATTTTTACCGAAATGGACGATTTTTCAAGAGAATCATTTTTAGGAGAAAATATTAAAAATAATACTTTTACTTTTTAAAAAATTATATATTGATCGGTTTTCAATATGTTTCACTTTTATCTTTTAAGAAAATTATAAATTGATGGGTTTTTCAATATTTATTGTTCTAATATACTAATATTAGAACAATATTAGTATATTACCCTTATTGTTTTCATTTTCCTTTTTATTTTCAACAATTTATTTAATTAAAAGTAAAACAAAAACCTCACCCAACCCTTTCCTATTCTACTACAAGACTTGCATCACTCTACACTACCACCATTGTAGCTTGCCAAATATGATAATTCTAGCATCGTCATCACCTTAATGAATGTCGTCTGAAAACCATGTATCTATTTTGTTACTATAATGAAATCTACAAACAGGTTCCGCAAACGGGTATCAAATAGTTTTGGGTTAATCTTGATTTTCTTTAACGAAAATTTTAATCTACTTATAAACTATTCTTTAATTTTATGTTCAGGACTTGAACCTTTGACCTCATGAAATGAGGATAACACCATATAAGTATTTGGAGTCTTTTATTTTGTAAATATGTTTAATTAATTAATGGGTAATTTGCAATGTTTGAAAGATTCGAATAAATAGTTGGTAAGTAGTCCTTTTTTAAGAGAAAGTTTAGCTGCTATTTTATATTTAAAGTGTACTCAGACATTGAGAAATTAAGGAGAATTGTTCCAACAACATTACATTTATTCCTCTTGTTTAACATTAATTTTTCATTTTGCAAATTACCAAGGCGACTATTCCAACAATTGGGTGAGTAGAAGAAGTGTTGATCATAATATGATTAATAGAAACAACATTGGTTGATCAAATGTGAAAGAAAGCAGCAAGTTTGTGATCGATAGAAAGCAAGTATAGAGGCTAATCAAGTCGTGATCGGCAGAAAAAAGGAAGCAACAATCTATCACTTTTGATCGAGACAAAAAGAAAAGAAGCAAGACCTGAGCAAGCAAGAGAGAAAGCATAAAATCGAGGCAAGAGACAACAAGAGTCGAAGGACGATAGCAAGACCCGAACTGAAAGACCCCAACTTTCATATTTCTGAAAACATTATTATCACTCCAAAACATGCTACATACATATTCAAAAATAATATTTTACATTGATAACTTGTTTACAAATGACTGGATACAAACCGACTATTACAAAGTATTATATATTACATAACTACCCAGGATACTATACTTCTATACATACATGATCCCTAAATATAAAAGTAATATTATAACTATTCTAAACCTTCCAACAATATACGACTATACTGTTTACTTATCTCCTGCAATTGTTAAACATTGAGAGAGGTAAGCGGTGACACTTACTGAGTTCAATAATAGATACAATATAACTTTATGTCATATATATACTTCAATATGGAAGAAGCAAAGGGAACAAGGAACAACAAAGGAATATGTGAATCATGCAACAAGCTTTCCATATCAATCAATAAGACATAACAATTTCAATACTTGATATATATCAATAACACTTCGGCCCAAATGGCACAGAAGACATACATTTTCTGATTAAATATTTTGGTAGATTTTAGGCTTTCAGCCCTGTCTAACCTTCTACCAGTGTCATAGAATAGAAGTCGTTCTCTTACGAGACATGCTCTACATGTCCAGAGGCTACATACCAATATCACTGTGAATCTAAGTCCTTTCACTGATCACATGGCCAAAAGTATAGCTTTGCTATCAAAATAGTGGAAATAATAACACGAGATGATAACACGGAAAAGCACATAGCACATATAACACATTGTTGGATTAGTGTCTAAGTCCCTAACTATTTTCGTATGTACTTGACCCGATTATGAGCATGGTCCTTTTGGGTTGCCTTCACCATAGCAACTTGTAGGATGAATTATGGAGAGATAGGATTAATTATGATTTACTAATATATTATGAGAATAATATATTAAAGGAGAAATCATATTGTTTAACTAATATTGGTCAAGAATTAACTGAGAATTAATTTTGTGGTCAAAAGAGATTAATTAAACTTAGGGGATTGGAATTGTAATTATAAGATAATTGTATTTAGGCTGTGGATCACCTTGGAATATAGGTTGGATGAATTATATGGAAAGCCCATAAGGAATTCATCCAAGGGATGTTCAAAAAGGAGTCCATGAGCTGCTTAGGGCTTAAGCAGTCAGATTATGGTTTTCTAGTTGAAAACACTAATGGCCTAACTATATAAGGACCACCTAAGTCCCCAAAAACGTAGTGAATGAATCCCTTAGGGTTTCTAGACTTTTTTTGTGCCTCTCCTTCTCCTCTTTCTTCATCCTTATTACTTATGGTGTTTGTGACTCCATTAGAGGTGCAACACTTGAGACACTAAGCTTTCTGAAGCCAATTACAAGAAGAAATAGATTGTTATTGCTACATAACAATCAAAGGTAATATGTAAACCCTAATTATGATTATAGTATATTAGATCTAGGATTTATGAGCTTTAAATAACTTGCATGTACAATTAGATAAACCTAGATCCAAAGTTTTAGGGTTTTGCATGTGCACCATCGGATTGATGTAGTGCTCATAACCCATCAGTGGTATCGGAGCCTAGGATGGTGTTCTAATGTATTTGATGCAAAAGTTATGTTTTCAAAGAATAAAAAATTTTCGTTTTTTTTTTTTGCTTCTTCCTGATCACCACGAGGTGGTGTCGGGGCAGATGGCAGAAAACTCGCGATTTTGACCTATTTTGAACTTGGATAATTACCAAAATTGTTTTTGATTGATAAAATCCGAATTTTATTAATTTGTTATGATTATCCTTGTCAAAATTAGAGATAATTGTCATTTAATTAGATAATTATTGGCTTATTTGATAAACCCTAATTATCTGAATTATTTGTTTTGACTTATCTAGTAAGAAATTGAACTAGGTCAAATTTAGATAATTACCAATTATTTGATTAATTTTAATTATTTGTAATTTGATCTAGATAGTTTTGAAAAGTTTCTAAACTTGCCCTCAAGTTTTGGAATTTAAATTTTGATTAAAAGTTTAATTTTGAAATATTTAAATTCTAAACCCTAATGTTTTGAAATGTTTCAAAACTTGCCCTCAAGTTTTGGAATTTAAATTTTTGATTAAAAGTTTAATTTTTGAAAATTTAAATTCTAAAACTCTAGTTTTGAGAAGTTCAATTACACCCTTATGGTTTTACTAAGTTAATTAAAAGTATAATTAAAAGATAGTTAATAAATCCGTAATGATATGGTTTATATTTAATAAAATTAAAAGTGTAATTTATAAAATGAAACCACCTAGTATTTTAAAAGTGTAAAATACACCCTTATACTATATATAACATTAAAAGTCTAATATTATATATGTATAACTTAAATTGCTTGTCTTACCATCAGTAGGCCTCATTCACGAAGTTGATCTATTAGGGGGGTTATAAGGTTATGGCCTATAAAATGGCCGTTTAATGGGTGTCCACTCTCACTTACTGCTTTTTTGATTGGTGGAGGGTCGTTAGCCGAACGAGTAGGATCGGGCAAACCCTCTCCTCATTAAAAGTATAATGAATGTTAAAGTAACTAAATGTTTTACAAAAAAATTCCCAATCTTCGTTACTTTAGGAAAAAGTGAATTTGATGAAATTCCATGAAATTACACTTTGTACCCTTGCTGAGACGTTAGTGGAGCGTGTGTGGTTAACCGGCACACTAAATGGGTTCTAAGCAAAGGTAGCAAAGGGTGACTCGATGTTTGTCATAGTTCGGTAGAGCGTGTGTGGTTAACCGGCACATCGATAGATCAATACAAGAAAACAACTCTTTAATGACGCACAAACAATGACACTCGCTGATAGACGACGCGCATTTGTAAGTGCCCTAAAAGTTAATGTCAGTTTTGCAAAATTTGAAGGATAGAGGGCACGCATTTGTGCGCACCCTAAAATTAGTGTCAGAAAAGAAAAAAAAATGCGGAGGGCGCCTTTTATAAAATGTGCGTCGTATAAATGTGTCACTTTATAATTTTTAAGTGAAACACGCGTTTTAGGCGGGAAATGAAATCGACGAAAATTACCCCCGCCTATTGAATCCCAAAAATTAATCCCCCCCCCCCCGACCTCTTCTACTTAGAAAGAAAAAGCCTAGGTCCCTTATCTTCATCTTCAGTATCATCAAACATCTCGTTCATCCTCTGCATTATTTCCATCATTCATCCCTCTCCTCACTAATCAATACCCAAAAAACCCTAATATCATAACCACTCCTATTTTCTTGCACAACAAAATCCCAAAACATCACCAAATACTAAATTCCACAAAATCGTTGTGACCATTTTAGCTAGGGCTTTTTTCAAGAACGGAAACACTCTCACTTCTCTCTTAGCTTTGAAACAATGGATGATTCACCTTGCTTCGCGTTTGGTGACTTCTCCTCCAGCGATGTCAGGCCTTCCTCGTTACAAATCGACCAACGATATAGTGGTGAAGCTTAGCTGCCAAGTTGTGACATTACGCTGAGGTAGAAGACTTCACGGTAGGTTTTCCTCTGGCGTTTCCCCCAAAGCTAATTTCCAGTCTTTCATCCCCTTTTACTCCACCGATCATTAGATTGGCAATGATTCTTGACTCTTACGACCCTATGACCCTCTTCTTCCACGTCGTATTCTATCCTATTGTTCTTGCTTTTCATCTCCTTCTCATTATAAATAATTGCAGGTTCTATCTAAGAAATAAATTTTAGGGGGTATTAGGGTTGGAATTTTCTAATTTAATGGTTTGTTGTTTTCAAAATTAGGATTAATCGATGCTGGTGGTTTGGTCGCACACCTTCTACACTGTGGGATAGAGATCCTCTCCCATTGTTTCTGCTAAGGTACATTTCATTGATTTCTCGATCATATGTCTACTTCAATATCTCACACCTCTGTGTCTCCGTGTTTGCAATTGCAGGTAAACAAAGGGTATGTTCCCCCATCGTTCACACTTAAAGATCAAGACTGTAAAACTGTGAGCCTCTCGAAATTCAAAGGAAAGCCTCTTGTGGTCTATTTCTACCCTGCTGATGAAACCCCTGGTTGCACTAAACACTAAACAGGTTCAAATCACATTTTCTTGTGTCTTTATCCTTAAATAAATGATCTTTTCGAAGCTTACATCTGCTAATGTTGGATGTTTAAACATCTTTGGAAAAATTATTGTTGATTCTCGTCTAGAAAGTATATGAGTAGATAAACAAGATTTGTTATGCAATCTTTAGGCATGTGCATTCAGAGACTCTTATGAAAAATTCAAGAAAGCAGGAGCCCAGGTTATCGGGATTAGTGGTGATGATGCAGAATCACACAAGGTAATAATAATAAGAATCAATCTCTAATGTTGCAATTTTAAGCTTGGTAGATGTGTGCACATATCAATTAGTACACCCATACACATGTATATCCATTTTTATTCTTGTTTTAATGTGTAATGAAGTAACATAAGTTTGTTATTATTGTCATAGGCATTTGCAAAGAAATACAGACTCCCATTTACCTTGCTGAGTGATGAGGGTAATAAAGTCAGAATAGAATGGGGAGTCCCTTCTGATCCTTTTGGAACATTGCTTGGTAGTCAGAAAAGAATGTTGGATGTCCATTTATCAGATTCATTTGTTATACCTTTATCAGATTCATAGCTGGGTTGAAGAACATATCAGATGAAAAGGAGCTATAATTTACAACAAATATGATAAATGATAACTTCATCAATTATTCTGCTCGGCATAATCGCAGGTATGTTTGAAAAAATTGTATATGTAAGCATCTGTATACATTTAGTGCACTTACATTTTATCAAGGGACATGAATACATGATGGTATTTTCATGCAGAGGAAGTTTTATGTAGAGGAAGTTTTGGAACAGTTACCTGTTTTGAGAATTTAGAAACAGTTCCACCTTTTGAAACATGGGATCAAATCTCTTATATAAATCGACCTGTTGAGATTAACAAAGAAGGTATACACTAAAATCTCAATTTTGACTTTTTTACTTTTTCAAATTGACTAAAGAATGATATTTTATTATGTGAATGAAGGAAAGTATTTCACTTTATATGATGCGGTAAAATCGATTCTTCCAGAATTTTTTCATCCTGCTGAAGAAGAAAGCAAAGATGGGGTGATAAAAGTTGTTAGGATTCAAGGGATTGAGCCAAAAATGGAAATACCGTTTTCTTGGGTGGTTAACAATTTGATGAATCCTGATTACTTTCTTCATATTTGTGTTTACATTAATGCTGGTAGAACAATGGGTATGTGACACGTGGCATTTTAAGAAAAATGTTTTGGTGGTGTTTATAGGGGGATATGGAAAAGTGTACAGTATATGGTGGGAGTAATTCTTTTGGACTTTTTTTTAACTTGTTTGGTGAAAATGGTTATATTGTTAGAATTTGGAATTTAGTGATTTAGGAGGTGGGATTTGGTTTAATGGGATGGATTGAGTTTGGGGTTCTATGGTTGAATTTAAAAGGTTGGAAAACATATATCTGAAATTTCAGATAGTAGATTTTGATAAAATTATATAAAAGTTAAAAGTTAAAAGCACTAAAAGGTTATTTGAAATAGCTTTTGGATTAATAGTTTGATAAGCCCCAAGTAATCCCTGAGTGCTTCTAGTTGATCTGCTTTATTATAGTTATTTTGGTCTAGGGGTAGTTTTGTCTTTTATTTATTTATTTTGCAGGTTAGAGTTAGTGGTGATTCAAAGTAGTGGGGATATCACCTCGCTAAGATGTTATTCCCTTTTGTCCTTTTCTTTAGTAGTAGTATATATAGTAGTTAGTGATTTTCATGCAGAGGAAGTTTTATTTCGAATTAATGAAATTAGACCCTCCACATTACCAATATTACAAGAATGAGCACAACTTGGTTTTGTTAAAACAAATAATTTTTTCTTCTTATATCATCTTCCTTGGTTCTATTTATACATGTGTGGACTCTATAAGAGCTTTGAATGATATTATTGCAGATGACTTCTTGCATGGAAGGTTTACGGAAATACTACTGGCAATATAAAGAGTCAAATTCTTTGAATGTCAGTGGTTCTATATGTTTAAGATTGAATTCTTTATCATTGTCACAAATTGAGTCTTTTGAGAGGTTATTGTGGGTGCAAAGTCCTGATCTTAGCCACAATCAACATCATTCTATTGAAGGTAAAAAAACATATTTTATATTCTAATTCTCAGTTGCATGTTTCATTTAGTATAACATAAGTTGGGTGAGCTAAATGCAAGAAATAGCAATGTATTTGCATTAAACTTTAGAAAGAAAGAAAACCAAATTGAGAGTACATTGCTATTTATTGACAGGATTGGAGGTTTTGCAGCTTCTCTCATGCTTAACCCTTAGTCACAATAAACTCACGATTTGAATAAAAAATTCGGACAAGTTTGCCTATAGGTTTTGGGCCAGATTTGTAACAAAAATGAAAACTTGGGTCAAAAATGTAATATATATATATATATATATATATATATATATATATATATATATATATATATATATATATATATATATATATATGTTACTGATTATTTGTTGAATGTCAGGTCGGCTTTTATTGATTTGAGTGCAGGTCCTTTTTCATGGGAACCTGCTGTTGGTGGAGAAGGTGTGAATACAGAGCTTACCCCTTAAATTTACTGTCATGACTTATTTATTATTATTTTTTTAATTTGAATTTTTTAGCTTGTAAACAATTAAGAAGTCTTGGTGTAAGGTCAGTCTTTCATTAAAATTCAAAAACTATTTAAATTAAATCGTGGATTTTTTGTAGGTGACTTGTTTATTGGAGAGACTTCAAGGAGCTTCAAGTGCTTCAGAACCACGTTCACAGAAGGTACTTTATGAGATTAGATTTTCAATAATGCAATCAATTCTTAAATTTATTGAGGTTTAAAAGGATGAGGTATTACCCTTATTATCATTTATTATTAAGTCTATATATTGTTTCCATATACTAATTTTATGAATTTTTTTTTCTAGTGTGCAGTTGTGTATTTACTGCTTAAGCTTGGACAAACTTTGTAGCACCTGATCGTCCATGCCACTCCTGGTAAAACAAATTTATAGTGTACTTCTTTCATTTATGTTAGTAATTTCTCATTATGATGTTTCTTGTGCAATTTTATTTTTAGGAGGTATTTTACTTTATTAAATGTTTAAAGTTACAGGACATGAGTATGGGCACATCATGGAACTTTTTAGGGTAGTTGTTGGTTTTCCTCTTGGTGATCCATCAATGAAGTGTCCAACATCATGTAATAACATTTTAGGGGAAGATGTAGGTATATGTTTATTTAATGAATAATGTAATCATATGTATGAATACGAAATAAAGTTTGTTATTTGTATGACAATAAATTTTATGCAATGGATTGTATTTTTTGTATATGGTATTTTATTTTCTGTTATGAGACATTAAATTCAAATTTAATTTGAAAATTAGTAAATCTGTAAATAATATTTTTTTAACATTTAAAATTATGATACGCAAAAATGTGTGTCATCTTCATTTATGACTTGGCTTTTCTTGACAAGGGTTCCTTGATACGCATTGCGTGTCATAAACACGCGCGTCATAAGGTTACGACACGCAAATGCATGTCGTCTTCCTTTATGACATGGCCTTCCTTGATACGCATTGCGTGTCATAACTGAGTGTCGTAAATGCGCGTCATAAATGCGCGTCGTAAATGCGCATCGTAAATGCGCGTCGACTCTCTTTATGACAGGGCCTTTCTTGACGCGCATTTGCGCATCGTCTGAGCATTTTACGACGCGCAATGAGCGTCGTAAAAGGCTGTTTTTCTAGTAGTGGATGACTGTAACATTGGGGGCAGCATGTAAGTTTGCATGGTTATTCACACCCTGTTTTCTGATCCTCGGCATCCCAGTTACAAATCGAGGGGCATATCGAGATTTAAACATACCATTGAAAAGTTCAATGAATCTCAAAAGATCTAGGAGTTTTCAATACATTTAAAACTTAATCTCTTTTTCGTTTTTCATGGTGGAAAATTAGTGAATCGTCATTCACTTACATTCAAATGTTTTTCAATTTGGGTTACGGCATCCCTCTCCTAAGTTGTAGAGTATTGTGTTGGGTCCTAGCCTTAATATCTCATTTAGGTGTTTTATTAAAGACTCAATCAATTAATCATCTAACTTGAATTTTTCTCCAGTTTTGTAGATGTGAAAGTATGACAACTATGGTCTTCATAAATCCCTTGGAACAAGCTTTCCACATGAAGATGATATTCCACGATTCAATCAAGGAACAAGAAATCATGCTTCACTTCCTCCACGTCCTCCTATTGTTCTCCCTAACCCACAAGTTCAAAGGCTTGAAAAGTTCCAGCTCACTCAAGCCCTTTTGGCAAGTAAACATGAAGAAGGAAAGTCAGTGTGTGCACACGTCTTAGAGATGAAGTCACACATTGATAGGTTAAGAATGTTGGGAATCGTTGTCTGTGAAAAGTGGTTGTTGACTGGTTTCTTTAATCGCTTCCTAACTCATATAGTAAATTAATTCATAAGAGAGTACTATATAATAGACCACGACGTGACCCTCATCGATCTCACATATTTGCTTGTTGCTACTGAATCAACAATGATTTGGCACACTGGAGAAGCAAAGTTGATTGGTGGATCTGCCTTCCAAACCTCTATGGACATAGGCAATTGTAACGAAAGGCATGCCATGGTTGAAAAGTTTGATCATAAGAAAAAGGCAAAGTCTGAGGTAGTTCCGTGTGCTAATCCAATAAAAAAATCAATTTTCTTTTATTGGCAAGGGAATAGGCATTAAAGACGAAGCTACCCTATCTACCTGGGAGATGTAAGAGATGGGAGAGTCAAGACGTATGGCTCTACTTCAAGTAAAATACATTAACTAACTCTATAAGTTCCTTTTTTTTATTCTTGATACATTATGTGATAAGATTACATTTTTGATGTTTTGTAGAATCGAAGAAAAGAAAGGAAGCTTAAAGGAAGAAGTGTGTTGAATCTGACTGTGAAGAAATGGATTTCGATCGCATGGATTCAAAGATCGGATTTTTTAAGCTACTACTTTAGAGTTAGGCTATATTGCTAAGAAATGAAATAGCATAGTTTTTCATTTGAGTTGCGTTGTAAGGACAAATTTTTCCGCAATAAAATAAGTTTTGATTTTGTCTTATTTATTTATCCTTGCATTAACATGTGGGAAAAATTGATGTTTGTGTATTTCTATTATTAGCAATGTTAAAATGGATGTGATTCTTAGTCATGTTATTTATGGTAGTGTAATAATTTTCTAAGTAAGGAAAGATTCCCATCGCCCAAGTTTCAATTGGTAGAAACTTGGAATCGTACAACTTGTATTGTGTGATGTATAGAAATCTTGGTACTTAAGTAATTAAGACTAATTCCTTGTTCACATAAGTATTTGAGTCAAGTGAAGAACTAAAGGAACTAGTACACAATGTTGTGCACTGGTCAAGTCCACCATTAATAATAATAACATTATTCTTCATGATTTACTAAAAGTCTAGTAAATGTGATTATACTTACAAGATTAAGTGTAATTCTGAATCATTGAAAGGTTTCAATGAATGGTAGAACGAATAAGTAGAATCAATGAAGGTAGAAAGATAAAAAGTTTATCCAATCTAAGAAGAAGGGAGAGTACTTTTGTATCGTGTTTTATGATCATCTTAATGATTAAGAACCATATTGCAATTTATCCTCTAAGGACACCTTAGTGCACTAGTTTGGCAAAGAAGAGGAATCGAGAATTGTTGTAGTGATTAAGTCAATAAGATGAATTGTACTTCGTTCCAAAATCAAGTCTTAGAGTCATACTCCAAGATTGTGACTTGAGTGACATAATCTTAAGTAGGAATGTTCTTACACTCATGCATTTTGGTAAGTGATGATGTCTTGAATAAGACAAAGACCAACTAGTACCAAATTGCGTGTAGGTTTTGTCTTGATATAAACACACGCTAACTCTTGGATATTTGTTTTGTCAAGAAATGTTTCTTGATAAGAGAATCTAATATGTCAAGAGGTCAGTGGGAGTTTAAAGATCTTAAAAAGTTTCAAGAACAAATCAATAAGTAAATCTATTAAACATTAGCACACGACTTGAGGTTTGTAACCTATCGTGTTGACAACATTTTATTTCTATGCCATTCCAGTAAAGTTACTTATGCATATGAGTTCTACGAGTTCTCAATTAACTACATAAGGGAAAACACCTTGTTCAATGAAAGTACATTGACTGGCATAGGTGAGTTGCTAAATAACTTGGAAGCAATGGTGGGACCCTTAATAGCAAGAAATTAAGAATAAACAAGTTCTGTCCATAAGAGTTTGGATTTGTCACAAACATTATCTTATGATTATGGTTATGACAAATTTACATAGATAGGAACACATGCACCATAAAATCTAAGTGTCATAAGGTTTCTCTCCTTCATGAATATGATTGTGAGGAAACGCTTTCATTAAGAGAGATTTTAAGGAGATAGTAATTATGTAAATTGCATTCTCAAATTCGATTTTGATTACGACATCCCTCTTCATAGTTCGAATTGTGAAATTTGGCAATTGGTATGAACATTTGGAACAAAGTAATATAAGTTCTGAATTAGTTTAGACACACATGTGAGCTGTCTGAGGAAAAGTGTATGAGCTTGAGAAGCTTAGATAAAGGCTTATCGAAGCACATCGAATTGGAAATATCAACTTTGAAAGTCAATAAGTATTGTCTTCTAAACCTCCAACTATTTTCTGTAACAATTGGATTCGCATGTACCCAATGATAAGTATTTATATTGAATTTGTGAGAGAGACTCGGCGAGTAGGTGCTCAGACTCGCCGAGTGGGATCGCGCATCTTTTGGTCTGATTTAATGAGGGACTCTGCGAGTCCATAAGTGGACTTGGCGAGTCCATGCTGTTTAATGAAATCCTAATTTCTCGAGATTGGGACCTATTTAAGGACCCTTATAGCCACCATTTGCAGCTACCAGACCCTAAAGAGAAACCCTAAGAGAGCTAGAGCGTTTGAGAGGAAAGAGAGGGTATTTTTGATCTTTGTGCTGATATTCTTGCAAGAAGAAGGTGAACAAGGCTAAGAGGGAGCTGAAGAGGGTGCTATTTTGTAGATTTCAGAGACAAGGACTTCATATTTGAGGTATAGATTCGATCCATCTTCAGTTTTGATGTTAACCATTGGAGTTAGGGTTTTCCTTGACCCTTTAGGGGCTTGATTTGATGAGCATTTGGTCCCTTCCCGTATCAAGGCTTTGGATCTGGATCCAAAGAGGTCCAGAGACCTTAACCCTTTGAGCTTTATGATTGATGTTGGGATATATGAGTTTAGGATGTCATATTTGAGGTTATTTCTTCAAATAGAGTCTTTTGGCCTTTGCATGAGCATTAAGTTCTGAACTTTACATGATTAATGAGCTTAGGAAGGTTAGATCTATTCATTAAAAGAATAGATCTGACCTTAGAAGGTTGTTTGAGATTGAGCATGGAATGAAATCGCCGAGTCCATGAGCAGACTCGACGAGTTGGAGCGGGTTGTCCCGTGACTCAGATCAGTTGATGGCCTGGCGAATTGGGGGAGTGACTTGGTGAGTC